GAGAAGGGCTCCAAAAGCATCAAGAAAAATCCCATCTGAAAAAAAAAAAAAAAAAAGAAGAAGAAGCTGTCAGTTTATCGAGGGCAGTCTACCCTCACCTTGGCAATGGGGCATGGTAGCTGTTCAATTCTAGCTAACTCTAATGTTTCATTCTGATTCATTTATGTATCAGACCCAGCAAGTGGGCCACAGAAATGATCAACAGGACCCAGGTATGACTAGAAGAGCAAAGGGAAGAAAGTGAGCATCTGTTACTTATTTGAGTGACTTACTGCCAGAACTACTTAAACTGGTTACAAATATTTATCCCTTTTATATCATACATTGTTCAACTACAACCTAGCCTAATGACTAATGAATCCAGTAATATCCAACTCATAACAAAATATTATAATAAAACAGACTTTGCTTCTTGTCTCATTGTTGGTGGTCAGACTGTACCTATGACCCAGTATACATGGAAAGCTGTTTATCCAATGTAAAGATGCTGACAGAAGAAGGCAGAGCTCAAACTCTGAGGTGTTCTGCCATGTTATGCCACCCATACTCAAGCACCACTACATTTCTTGTTCAAACTATCTATCCCCAGAGTTCCTTGAGCCACAGCTTAAAGTGCATTCCATCTCTTGCTTTAGGCCCCATGTAAAACTTAAGAGTATCAGTTAATCCAATAAAAGTACCACAAGAGTAATTTTTAAGAATGTAAGAGATGGTGACAGGCAATGCATTGCATATGAACTGATCCCTTGAGTGTGCTACCACAAGCAAACTATCAGTGAATAAATCACCAGAATGAGATTTATGTTGTACACTCATGTAGAAATGGGATACTGCTGCATTTCAAATAGAAGACTAGAAAATGTTTTACCACAAAATTAAATAAAAACACTAACATTTTAAGAAAACTTACTAGCTCTTACATAACCAAGCATCAAACAGATCAAGGGATTTATATTCAATTGGCTTCAAAATGCTTAAATATTTAATTGTTCATTCACTGTGTCAGCTAGGCCTGTTTTGGTTTTCAGTGCTTAATTGAAATATTTCACAATTTCTCATTCTTTTGTGCCACTATTTTGTGATTTCCTTTCAGCATTATTTTTAATATCTTAAACATGCCATTATGACATTTATGTGACTTTTACCACTCTATAAGTATGAAGAATTAAGTTGTTATTTTATGTTATTTTAAAATTTAAACCTCAACGAAGCATGACGAGAGTAAATACTAAAATTTTGAAAAATCCAATTACAGTGGAGCCAATAGCAAATTAGAAACCATTCTTTCCTAATTTTACAATTCTACTTTAGTCAATATTAATGTTTAGCTAATTAGCTGGATAATTTATTGAGTTGAAAATAAGGCAGACCTGCTCTGCTGGCCGGCGCGGGCCGCCATGGGCAACCTGTTTGGCCACAAGAAGCAGAGCCGGGTCACCGAGCAGGACAGGGCCATCCTGCAACTGAAGCAACAGCAGGACAAGCTGAGACAGTACCAGAAGACAGTCACACAACATCTGGCGTGGGAGCGGGCTCTGGCCAGGCAGCTCTTGCAGGATGGCAGGAAAGAATGGGCCAAGCTGCTGCTCAAGAAGAAGCGGGAGCCGCTGCTTGATTGGACAGAGAACCAGATCAGCAGCCTGGAAGCCACTGTTCAGAGCATTGAGTTCACGCAGGCAATGGAGGGGCTTCAGGTGGGCAAAGAGTGTCTGAATAAGATGTACCGGGTGATGTCCATAGAGGAGGTGGAGAGGATCCTGGACGAGACCCAGGAAGCATTGGAGTACCAGCAGCAAATCGATGAGCTGCTGGCAGGAAGCTTCACCCAGGAGGGTGAGGAAGCCATCCTGCAAGAGCAGAATGCAATCACTCAGGAACAAATCGAGTTACCAGAGGTTCCTTCAGAGCCCTTTCCTAACAGAAACCCAGAAACGCCTGCCAAGGTCAGATCCAGCTAGGCAGAGCTGGTGGCAGCTTCATAACTTGGACTCTCCAGGGACTCACAGGGATTCTCTGAGAGTTTGGCTGCGTGTCAACCCTGAGAGCTCCCAGGAGGCCTGAAGGGCTGCGCTGGACAGTGTGGGTGCTGGTGGCTGGAGCCATGGCTTACAGGGGCCTGATGTCAGGGCCCCACAATGCGCTTTGGATTCACCGTTGTCTTGCTCTCATCCAGGATTGAGTGGCCAGGCTGGGCCACAGGCTGCTGGGCTCCCCCCGGTGGCCACAGCCCATACTCCTGGTGCTGTTCTCATGGCTGACCCAGTCCGTGTGACCTGCACTGTTTTGTGGGGAAGTGCCTCAGACCTTGGGGTCCCTATGCTTCCTTCTCTTGTCTCTGCTGCCCTCATGAGCTGAGGGGGGCTTTAGTTAAGAGGTTCTTACTGTGCCTGACCTCCTGTTATCCCTTAGTTTCTCTGAAGGCTAGTGGCAGAAACCCTAGGGTACTGCTGCTCTCCAAATCTCTTGGAGCATCTTTGGCACCTCAACTCTTGAGCCTTTTATGTTTGGGAGAGGTGGACCAGGGACCACCCTGCTGAATGGAGGCTGACTTGGGGTCTTCAAAAAAGAAAGACATCTTGAAGTTGGTGACAAGACCCTGTTCCAATGGGTGTGTACCCCATGGAATCCTGGACACAGCTGCCAGTCCCTAAGCCACCAACACCCAAGAGGTGCAGAGCTTGGAAGTGACTTCCAGGGTCCTGTGCTCATTTGATACTGGACAGTCTCTGATTCTCGGGTCTTTGAGGAACACAGGGGCTGGCATCCCTTCGGGGCCCACCAAGAAAGGACATCTCTTCCTTCACCCAATACAGGTCAACCCAATATTAAAGTTGTCCCTGCATGGTCAAAAATAAATAAATAAATAAATATATAATAAATAAGGCAGACTATTCATATAGTCATTCTGTTGTGAATAGTAAATGTTGTGAGATGAGATGTAAGTGGCAACTTAGAGCAATTTTTGCTTCCCTGTGAAGTACCAAGAAAGGACATCTCTTCCTTCACCCAAAACAGGTCAACCCCAATATCAAAGTTGTCCCTGCATGGTCAAAAATAAATAAATAAATAAATAAATATATAATAAATAAGGCGGACTATTCATATAGTCATTCTGCTGTGAATAGTAAATGTTGTGAGATGAGATGTAAGTGCAACTTAGAGCAATTTTTGCTTCCCTGTGAAGACGTCATGAGAGAAATGAATGGAGACCCACAGCAAGTGCTGACCTACTGTGATGATGCATACATAGTGCTAAATTGGCATATTTGCCCCAAACATGTCTATTCTTCCTGATCAGGAGGCAAACAATCTG